TAAAATAGTATAAAAAATAAGACTAAAAAACTTAACTGATATGGGCCTCTTTACTAATCCTTAATGGGTCAATAGATTCAAACCAAAATAATAATCCCTTTTGATAAAAAATACACCCCTTCCCCAAAAACAAAAAACAAAATTAAAACACCATTCTATAAAAACTAAGTTAGTATCAAAATTTAAAATAAATGTGTAGTAACACAAAATAAAAAATGATACAATAACACATAATGATTGTTGATATCAGTAGGGAAAATTTGGGGCATGACAGCTGTCCATATTTAATTACTTTTTTATTTAAGGGTATGAGAATACACAGGTCTTGCACAATCGAATCAGAGGGTTATTAAATAATGAAAGACCCCAACATTTTAGCAAAGACCCGAAAATATTTTGAAAAAGAGTTTAAATAAAATAAGTAAAGAAGCAACCGTAGATTTCGTATATTTACCACAACCTAGGAGGTAAATAACGTGAGTTTGAAAAAAAAGATAACTTATTACTACTTCGAGACTAACGCAACAAGTTATACCGTAGTTATTGCATATTTACCACGATCTAGAGGGTAAACAACACAAGTTTAAAAATTAACTTAATAATGCTTCGAGACTAATATACTAAGCTACAACGTAGATTATGCATATTTCTCAAAACCTAGGGGATAAATAACATAGGTTTGATAATTCATTGTCGCTTTGAGACTAACACAATGAACTATATCGCATAAGATAACCTATTGCTGCTTCGAGACTAACGCAACGAGTTATATCACAGATTATCGTATATCTACTACAACCTAGGGAGTAAATGATACGGATTTAAAAATATCTTACTAACGCTTTTAGACTAACATAGTAAGGTATATCGCAGGCTTGCGTGTTTATCACGATCTAGAGGATAAATACCACAAACTTGATGATTCATCGTTTCTTGGAGACTGATACAATGAATTATATCGCATATTTCTACATATTAGCCGCAACCTAGGAGATAGATAACACGAATTTGAAAGATAAATAACTTACTAAAGCTTCGAGACTAACATAGTAAGCTATATTGTCGATTTGCATATTTATCACAACTTAGGAGATAAATAATGCGGGTTTGATGTTTAAATTTGTGTCTGATAAGTGAATCTTAGATAACTAAATCAAAGCTATAAATCATAGACATATCACTTAGTACAACCCTAATCAACTAGTTGTGTTTGTTCTCAACCGAGGTATTTATTGAATAATACTAAGGTTTTGATTTGCACAGACAAGTTATCTCATAATAGACCCCAAGATATGTCGTAGTATTCTTGACCTAAGCATTTTTGAATATATATATATATATATATATATATATATATATATATATATATATATATATATATATATATATATATATATATATATATATATATATATATATATATATATATATATATATATATATATATATATATGATGCCCGGAATTGATATCATACCTAATGATGATGTTATTAACATGGTACCTAAGTGTGCACCAAGTATTTTGTAAATGCTTTTGATAATTTTTTCCTCTTAAACAATTGGATTCTTTAAGTCACCAACTTCTCAATGTTGTTTGTTGTTATGTCGTGATGTCTCCAAGTTGAATTGAATTTTGATAATGACAATTTGTATAGCAGGCGTAGGCGTAAGCTTGGACGCAAGCGTGAATTTCTTTTGACATTTTTCTAACCAAAATACTTTTTGATGTTTTGTCAAATACTTTTATTTAATGTCAAATCTTTAAAATTATTTTGACGCAATGTTTACAAGAAATATTCGTAGTATTTTTCAAACAAGTCGAGAAAAGAAAAACACAATTGAAATAGAATTTGAAAATTACATTTTTTTAATTAATGAAAGCGCCCTTGAATAGTAGAAAGTACAAGATGCAATTCCTAAAAGAGGTCATTACATAAAGTTTAACAAAACTTAAAAATGAAAATGAAAATGATAATCAACACTGCTAATTCTCCAACATCTTTTTGATAACTCCAATATCCTTTGCTTCTGAGTTAGATGATTTAGATCAATCCTTCTTTTCCGTAGTCGTAGTAGTGAATTCTTGAATCGTATTGTTCATTTTTTGAATAAGATCCCTAACTTTTGTCTGGATCGCTCTTTTGGGTTTTCAATCCACCAAGATGATGATTTTATTTATATGTCCCTAATTTTTGTCTGGATCGCCCCTTTAGGGTTTCCAATCCACCGGAACGTCCCTTTTTGCCTAAGTCTCCCATTTAGGGTTTCGACTTAGCGGACCTTTTATACATAATATTTTTGTACTGCGTCAAAATTTAACGAATGTGGTAGTTCTTCCCCATCCATTGTTTCAAGGATAAGAGCTCCTCAGGAGAATGTTGTTTTGACTACATATAGACCTTCGTAGTTAGGTGTTCATTTACCACGTGAATCTAGGCGAGGTAAGAGAGAGAACCAGATCCCCTTCTTTGAATACTCGAGGACGGACCTTTTTATCGAATGTCTTCTTCATTCACTTTTGGTACAACTGAACATGGCACAAAGCTGTTAAGCGTTTTTCTTTATTGAGATTGAGCTGATCAAGTCGCGTCTGAAACCATTCTGATTCTTCAAGCTTGGTTTCCGTGATGACTCGTAAGGATAAAATCTCCACTTCAACAGGGAATACAACCTCTATGCCATAAACAAGAGAGAAAGGAGTTTTCCCCGTCGAAGTATGTACTGAGATACGATTTCCATTTTCTGAATGATCTTCTTGATATTTTTGTTAGCAACTTCAACGGCCCCGTTCATCTTGGGTCGATAAGGTGATGAATTATAATGTTCAATCTTGAAATCATCGCATAACTCCTTCATCGTTTTGTTGTTCAAGTTAGACCCATTGTTTATTATAATTCTACTAGAAACTCCATATCTGCATATGATGTTCTGTTTGATAAATTGAGTAACCACGTGTCTTGTCAATTTGCATAAGGCGCAACTTCTACCCACTTGGTAAAATAATCAATGACGACTAGTATGAATCGATGTCCATTAAAAACCTTTGGTTCGATCATTCCAATCATATCAATTCCCTACATCGAGAATGACCATGATGAACTTAAGACATTCAGAGGAGTTGGTGGTACGTACATCTTGTTAGCGTAGATTTGACACTTGTGGCATGTCTTTATATAATGATAGCAGTCTCTTCCATCGTCAACCAATAATAACCTGCTCTTAAGATTTTTCTAACCATGGCATGTCCATTTGTATGAGTTCCGAAAATTCCTTCATGGATATCTTTCATAAGCGTATATGCTTCATATTTCTCCACGCACCTGAGTAATACCATATTTTAGTGTCTTTTGTACAACACATTCTCATTTAAGAAGAACTTTGCAGCTAACTTTCATAGAGTTCGCTTCTCAATTATTGAGGTGTTTTTTGGATATTCTCGCTTCTCTAAATACCTCTTGATGTCATAGAATCAAGGTTTGTTATCTGATCATTCTTCAATGGCGAGATAATGTGCATGTTCTTCAAAATATCTGATCGTGATGTGTGCTTCATGATTTGGCCAAGTTACTTTGAATATGACTGATATAGTTGCCAAAGCATCTACCATATGATTTTCTTCTCGCGGAATGTGAGTGAAAGTAATCTCAGTGAATTCTGTAACTAGCTTCAAAACATAATCTCGATATGGAATTAATTTAGGATATCGAGTGTCCCATCCACCATTGACTTGGTATATGACTAACACTGGGTCTCCATATGCTTCGAGATGTTTAATCCTTAATCCTTAGATCAATAGCAACTTCTAGACCCAAGATATAAGCTTCGTATTCAGCAATGTTGTTAGTACAATCAAAACATTAATTTATAATATAAAGTTTATGAAAATTCTTTGGAGATGTTAGCACTGTCCCAATTCTATGTCCTAATGCGTTGGAAGCAGAGTCAAACATGAGTAAAGAATGGAAGAGAAATATAATCTTATTTATAAAAAACACAGATACATGTAGAAACCAGATGAGATAGGACCTCCTCTTAAAATTAGAGTACATGTGCCATCTCATATGACTAAAGATAGTGCACACGCCATGTAAGATGGCACCTACGTGCTAATTTAGATGGATGCGTTATCTCATCCGACTCTTCATTAACCTTTTCTGAAATATAATTATTTACATAATTTTCTCCGAAACATAGTTATTTGTATTTTTTTTTTCAATACCTGTTATTTGAAAAAAAATATTCACTCTTTGATTTATGAATTAATTCTACACAATTTATGTGGTCGATAGATAAGAAATCTTAGAAATGCATGGAGGATAAAGTTGCCCTCCTTAATAATGTATGTGGAGCTTTCTCAAACTCCATAAAAGCTCATAGCTAGTCCAATGTTAGTGATTTTACAGTACACTATTGCAAAATGATTATTATGATTTGTCAATTACTCACCCTTGTTTTGGAAAAGAAACATCACAATATAGTTTACTTGACAACCCCAGGCCTATTCTATTATGGAGTGAAGAATACAAGGAGTCATTACTTTTCAAAAAATAAATAAAACCAGTTCATAATACCCCGCCTGAAATAAAATTCATTCATAAATCATCATGATTAACACTAGGGTACTTCTAAAGTATATCAAGATTTTGCAGATGCTCAACTTTTTCATGCATGAAACTGTAACCCTAGTCCTCAGCAACGAGTCTTGACAACCCGGCCTGTGAATATCAAAGAAATAAATAAATCACCAAAAATAAATAACTCAGGTCTGTGAATATCAACGAGTCTAGACAGTCTTCATGCATATCTTCTGTTTTTTTATCAGATCTTCATGCAGATCTTCCAATTGACACTGAATGGCAAATAGAAAACAATTACATTCATTGTGTAAAAGGAGGTGAGTGTGTTGAAAAGACTATATTTTTTCTTGTATGTTCAACTGAACTTTATTGGTACTAAGAATATGATATCGATAAAGTGAATAGGCTAACCTTATCACTGACTAGTTTCCTGCTTCACCTTCCAAGTTTGAACCTTTTTGTGGTTTACCTTCCAAAACCAGTCTATAGACGTAAAACGCTGCTACTGCACCACTGCAAATTTCAAACAAAATTGTTAATTATACATCGAAATATTAACAAAATTGATAGCTGAGTTTTCATTTTGAGTCTTTCGCAGAATCCACGGTTGTTTTATAAGCTTCTTACAGAATCAGCAATTATTTGACAGCCCAAATGTAATCTCAAGCAGGACATCACCAATTGTAACACTAGTAAATCTGATTTTAATTCAATATTGTTGAAGTTTGACTTAAACATTAAACAACTGGTTTCAATTTGTGTGGAAGTTTGACTTAAACATGAAACAACAGCAAGTGGTTGAGATTATCGATAAGGGTTTTAATGGGAAAACGCTGGAGTAATAAAAACTCTAAAATGAAGATAAAATGTAAATAAAACAATAATGAAGTTTCAAAACCTGATCAAGGCAGTGAAATAAGTTGATCCCTGGGAAAAGGAAACAAGAACAGGTAGTTATCAGAAGTTTGTAACATATAGCATTTTTATGAGCATGAAAAATAGAATTAATTTGACAAATGTTCAATACAAACTATCTCTTACTCTGCCAACTGAGCTAATCTCCCGCAGAAACAAGATACTTGCTATTGCTGCAAGCCCAACAAGTAATTTAAAATCAGATTAGCTATGGATAAATAAGCATAATTGAAAAAAGAAAACTACTAACCAATTACAAAAAAATAGTTTGATGTTTTAAATATCAGAGAGATGGAAACATCATGATCTAGAATAGAAAAGTGTATGTTAAGTATCCATTGGAATGTAAGTAATGAATTGTTTTTACTCTAATTATAATATATTTGATCACATTTTATTGAGTATTTAAGCTTTTGTTGACAAAAGACAAATTAAAGCAGGCAAACAGAGCCCATAGTAGAAAAAGCAGAATTCAAATCCAAAATATGCAACATTTTCGTGAAACAAGTACAGGTCAACATTATACTGTTTAAGTTCAGTAGGGCTAATTGCCATTTTCAACACATACTAGTCAGATTTTTTTTAAAAGGGGAAAAAGACCAAAAAAAAGTAAAAACATTAGAATTGGTCAAACCCAGTAATTAATTGGAACTTTCAACTATGATTATTAAAGAAAACAATAAACCCCCTCATTGGCATATAGATCTCATGCAAACATATTTGTTACGTTTACAAATATTTTACAATTAAACCAATGAAAATTGGTTGAATGATGAAACATTGTTGTTAAAGTTGCAATTCAACTCGTATGATTGCACGATCCTACAGTTCAACACTGTTAACCAATCATGTGCAACCGAAAAATCATTTTTTGGTGCAGTTGTTATAGGATCCCCGTGAAAACCCAAAGACTTGGGATATTGACATGCTTCTGCACTTCGGATGTTCACAATAATGCAGGTCTAGTGGGTGACCTATAAATTCCAACCCCATTTTAACCTAGTCTCGCAACCTTCTCAAATCAAAACTTTTTCAATCTCAATCCCCCATTCATTCCCTCTTTGTTCCCGACCAGACTCTGTTTGTGGGTCTGGTTTAGTCTTGCATTTTTTTAATTTATGTCTGTTCCTCCCTCAATTGGAGAGCTGAAGTTTCTGTCTCAGCATTTTGATCTCTAGAATCCTGGGTCTGGGCCAGTTTTCATTCCCTCTTCTAGTCACTTCATGCGCCACCTGTCATGGTGGCGCCATAGGCCGCAGTGGCATATGCAAGATTTTTGCCCTTCCACCATTGACAACACTGCTGGGGGCGGGACTCTCAACCTCATGTTTCGTGTTGTTAGCTATGTTTACTCTACTTAGAGTTGTTAATTTGTACATTTAAGTTAAGATGTTATTGAGACTTATGAGTTTGTATGCAGCCTATTTAAGGCCAATTAATTTTTTGTGGTAATTCATAGGTGGTCAGGACTTGGGGTTTTAGGATTTAGGGTATGTGGTAATTGAAAGGTGGTTTAGGGTTTAGGGTCTGTGGTAATTGAAAGGTGGTTTAGGGTTTAGGGTCTGTGGTAACTGAAAGGTGGTTAGGGTTGTGGTAATTCAAAGGTCGTCACATATAATTTTGCATTTCATCAGGGTCTTTAAATTCCCTGATTTAAAGTGTCTGTTTGGTTGGCAGAAATGGGAGGGTTCTGTTGAACCAAACATGCCCTAGATGTTCTCTTTCCACTTCTAATCCTAGGTAGGGGATTTCATTTTCTAGAATCTTCTATGACGGATGATTTTAGGACGAAAATTTTGGTGAACACATTTTTTTTATTACATATAAAGCGTGTGAACTTACCTGTCTGGCCCTTCAAAGCTATAGAATTGGGCTGTCCTTTTTTATACGATTTCAGACTTGAAATGCTTAGAGCCAACAGACCACCGCCTAAGATCACCCCAAACCTTATTGCTGCAAGGCTCCCTGTTATCATAAAGAAAAGGAAGCCACCCAGAGATAGTAGCAAACCTGCAAAATAATAAATATTAAAAATTGACATTTGGGAGGATTAAAAGGGCAACAAGAACTTTCCAGTCAACTCAATAAAATCATATCATTAATATTTCTATATTCACTAAATCATTTAATGAGATGACATTTGTACAGTACAGATATTGAGGTTAATGAGCCGGTCCTATTATGATAGTCAAAACGGATAACCTATATATAAGGTATGATTGGCAATGTGAGCAAAGAAACATAAATAGTGTGATACATCATAACACAGATCATAAGATCCTGCCTGAAATGCAAAATCACACACACACACACACTCTAACATAATGTAAATAACATTTAAATGATCACAAACAATTATTTAAAACTTACATTGAAAATGCATAACAACGTAATATACAGCTCATAAATAACAGATTCACAACTTTAGCTAAAGAAACAAGTTAACAAAACTATAAAATATACTAAAAAATTATAACATGTAGAAGTTAACAACCAAAAGAGCATACAATCCAACAATGAATATTGCAATTTTAACTATCATGGGCCCTATTAATCAGTCAACATCCAGAAAGGCACTAACAACAGCAATCCTTGATAGAGCCAGCATTACCAATTTGCCATATGCATGGCAGATTATGTGTCAACCACCAGAGGTGACCATAATGCTGTATCAATGTAACAGATTTTTAGCTGGCAGCCATAATCTGTCATCCGCAGTTGATAATATTGATAAGGACTTTATTAGATGATAACTTACATGAATAAATGCATCTCAAGTTGTTAACAGTTTCTGCTCTATGGTAGACAAGATATCATTCATAAAACAAATTTCTATTTAAAACATATTTACCACACAACACTTATAATCACATACCATAGGGAATCCCAACATAAAAGTCCCTGACTCCCGAAACACTGGTAAGATCATCCTCCGGCGAGGTAAAAGTCTCCACAATCTCCTTGACCTCCGGCGAACTCTCGGCCGCAGACGACAAATACTCTTTCCCTTCTTCCGCAATTTCCTTCGCCACAACACTCAAATCATTTGTGGCCTTATCAGCATGTATCTTCAACTGCTCCGAAGTGTCCTTCAAAATAACAACCGCCTTCTTCGAGTACAATTCATAAGCCTCCTGAGAAACCCCTTGAACCTTCAACGCTTGCTCCTTGAAGGTTTCCAAAGTCTGCTTCCATGCTTCCTGTGATTCTGATTCCTCCTCGGAACCAACATCAACGTCATCATTCCCTTTCTCAACTTGGACTTCACCGTGATCCTACACAGTTCACAATACACATCACAAATTCAAATAAGCTACAATGGAACCCTAAATGGAGTTAGTTTTGGATTTACCGAGTCGTGTTGCGGCGCGGCGGAGAAAGTGACGGTTAACGGTTTGCGTGTATTGAGAGCGTAACGGGGGAGGGAGAGTTTGAAAGTGCGGGTATTGAGTAAAGAGCGAAACCTTGGAGAATGGGATGGGAGAGAGGGACGGGTGTGGTTGAGTTTAGGGTTTAAGACAGAAACTGAATCCATTGTGAAATTCATGGAGGCCATTGAAAGGGGGCGAAGGTAACGAGAATTTTGGTGAGGGTGGAAAAAAAATAATTGAAACTGAAATTAAAGAAATGTGTTTAAGAAATGAAGGAATGAAAATGCAGAGCAAGTTTGGAATAATCGGTGGGTTTGTCACGTGTTGGTTTTTGTAATGTGTGAATTTTATTTGTTTATTTTTGTGGAAAAAAAGGAGATGAGGCGGAGTCGGCAGCATCCAAACAATACATGTGGTTTGGACACGCGCGAGGGAGGGTTCTACTAGCAGTGAGAATGACATTGGTGCGTACTCTTTTTAGACGGTTTCTTTTTGGGGAAGACTCGATTGGGTGCATCGGAAAGTAATAGAGTTTTCTCCAAACTATTTTAGGAATTTAAAACTTTTTGCAGTTTATGTAATATCAAATGTCATAACTACATTGATGTCACTTATTTATTTTTTAAATAGTTCCATTTATCACTTATATCGTAAGTTTTTATGTTCAATAGTCCGCATGTTGGCTGCTGCTTTTAGATTTATTTTGTTTTTAGTATGTATAACTATTAAGATCTTCATGCGTTATGGTAACTATATTTGTTTTTAAAATATAACAAAAATAAAATAATTTATTTTAAAAAAAATAATAAATTGATACATATAATTCTTCTAATATATAAATGATTTAAATTCATAATATAATTTTTTTATATAAATATAATTTTTGTTTTGAAATTTTCGTAAAAAATATTTAAACTAATAATAAAGTTGTTATATTATTATTTAATATTTTGATCAATAAATTAATGTTCTCGTTGTTATTCAATATTTTAATTAGTAATTTCATGTTTCCGTTAATATTTATTATTTTGATCAATAATTTAATGTTCTCGTTAATATTTATTATTTTGATCAATAACTTAATATTTCTGTTAATATTTAATATTTTGATCATTAACTTCACGTTCTTGTTAGTATTCAATATTTTAATCAGTAACGATAATATTAACTATTTTTATCTGTATTATTGTTTAAAAAATTAATTTAAAATATATTTGAGTTATATAAATATAATTTTTTTTATATTTGAAGTATTTTTTATACCGAAAAAAAGTAAAGTTCAATACTTTGCCTCTTATATGAACAATTTGTTAAAAAATGACAAATTATTTGATTTAAAGATGTTATGTAATTTTTTTTTTCTGGAATGTTATTATAAAGGATATAGTCTTCGAAGAAGTGAAATATATAATAATTGAAAATTGTAGTAGTAAATTTATTGACCATCTAAAACAATTAATTTTCATAAATATTTAAATTGACTTATTAGAGAATGAATTGAGATTATTGTTGTTAGAATAATATAGCAAGTGTGAGTCAGTGAGGAAATAGTCTTAGATGGATAAAAATGTGGAGACTTAAGCATATATAAGTGGGAGAACTCACTCACCTATCACCTTAAGATTATTCTAGGTGGAGAAGTGATTTTGTCTATCTCAAAGATACTTGTTCGTACTAATCTCCCCCAACAATTGTTAGTATGCCACACTCACGCAATTATTAATGAGTACACATTAAAAGGTATATATTTAATATTTGACATATTGCGCAACTAAATTTGAGTAATAAGATCTCACATACAAATTGGTCCACAACACATAACTCTCTATCAATGAGTCTAATTTCTAATGAATATATAATACAGTGTAGTACTTTACTATAATTGAAATTCCAAAAAGGTAAAAGAATACAATGCTACTCATAATAATCTCTTCCATCTTTCACGTTCTTTTTGTGCTAATCAAATGGTATTCCAATTCTACAACATTCAAATTCTTACCACCTTCTCCTCCAAGATTACCTATAAGAGGAAATATCCATCAACAGTGTAATAATTCATGCAAATCCATCTTGGCAGTGTACCGGTTCTTTAATCTCATCACCTGAAGCAGCAAGTGAGATTATGAAAAATCATGATGAAAGTATTGTAAGTAACCATATTTAGTTTGAATCAGTAATTAAACCCTTTCATACACAATGAACCCAATGAAATATTATAAGCAACCAAATTTGGTTTGCATCCTGATATTTCCATAGAAAAAACAATTTGTAGTACCTCATCAAAATTATTCTGCTTACACATACCATATATATATATATATATATATATATATATATATATATATATATATATATATATATATATATATATATATATATATATATATATATATATATATATATATATATATATATATATATATATATATATACATTGTAATTTGTAAGTATAAATATCACGAATGAGTCCTAATACAAGCATTTAATCAAATAGATCAGTTAACTACACATTATCACATTCTTTAACAATTCCAATCAAAACAGTAGTATAACAAAAAATGACAAGCTTAATTTCATTCCATCTTCTTTCAATTGGTTCAGAATATTTCAAGTTGTTTAAATCTTCAAGGATAGAATGGATTGAAATGCTATACCGCCTTTCGTATCGGATAACCAAAATTCTGATACGTAATACGGGTATACCAGCACTAACTCTAATCTAGCTTATCAGGCCAAGATCTATATAAGCAAACTCTAATATAGCTTATCAGGCTTACAACCTAAATTAGGATTCGCACCAGTCGCCAAAAGCTTGCCCTAATAGTTTTACCCAAAGCTTTTTAAGGGCATATGGTGCACAAGTACAAAACATGCACCCAAAAATATTAAATTCTATGAAACAGGCGCATTTGTTCTGATTGAAATTCTGATAAAATGTGAACCAAATAACCAGGATCGGTATGAAAAGAGTGTAATCTTTTACTGTTATTTCTGATTATTGTATGTTTCAGTTATGTCTGACCATTAAGATAAATATATTATCAGAGTAAGTATTCATGAAGCCATGGAGCATCAGAGCATATCAAAAGTTGGAATTGTCACATCTCTTCAGGCATGTTGTTATGTCATTGCTGCTGCAAATCCAGTTGGAGGAAGGTAAACAAATAAGCTTTTATGTTAAGTTACATGTATCTGAGAGCAGGTTGGAACTGTTCATCAGTGTCCAATTTAAGTCTTTACCTTCCATGTCATTCATATTATAATCAATTGAAGTACTTATTTATGGTTTAGTTTTGTTCTCCTAGCTTCTAACTAATGATTTGGCAAATTGAACTCGGGATTTGCAGATATGATTCCTCAAACAGAAGATCTAAACATCTAATGGTGATGTTCTTTCTAATGAGTAGGTCATACCTTATCTCAGAAGAAATGTGGCCAACGAATAATAGTAGGCCAGCAGGAAAAAATTGCCACAAAATTCTGAAGTTTATGAATACGAATCATAATACATTTGTTTAATTTACCAATAAAACCAATGTTTCAAGTTTGAAACAAAACTTTTAAAATAAAATCATAGTTAAAAATAGAATACCTTGTCAAACACAAGCCTATCAAACTAAGGTGTTGTTTTGTCTTGTGGAAGACCACTATTTAGATATCCCAATTTGCTGTCAATGGAGTAAAAACATGAGATAAAGTGAAATTAAAATGATAAGTTCATAATTATTAGTAAAATTAGAAAACAGAAAAAAGAGACATTTTTCTTAAACCAAACATGTTAATTTATTTGCTTTGTGGCAGCATAAGCCAAACTAACAAACAGTTAGTTGCATACCAAAGAGTGAAACTGGCCACAAATGTATAAGATAATGAATGTTATAGTTGATGGTGAGATAGTTGGTTTGAACAACATAGCATCATATTATTTTGGTTTAGATATGAATATAAATATTTGATCATTATCTTCCCATCTAAATGTTGCTTTGCCTTCTCAATCTCTTGTTGTTTAAAGTAAATGCAAAGCATTTCGAATATCAGCATTTAGAAGTAGCTACAAATGCTATTCAATAGAGTAAAATCCTAAATATAACTTTGAACTCCTCTGGTATGTTCCCAGAAAGTGCCTCGGATTATGCAAGTAGAGATGAATAGGGATAATGAACAAAATAAAATGAACTCATTCTATCAAAAAGGAACATTTTTTATACCTGAGCTCATTCTGAGACAAGTTCCTTTTTTTGAATTCTTGAACTAATTCTATTGACAACCTGGGAAAAAAATGAGCATGATAGTGCTCACATGAGACAACAAATATTAAAAAGTAGTCTTGGAAAAGTTCAGTAGAAATAAATTACAGCACAACCTCTCATGTGGGCATTGTAGATACTGTAATGATGCTCAAAATCAAATACAAATGAAGTTGATGAAATAAATAATCTGCTGCAACTTACATTAATAACAACTGCTCAGATAATTAAAAAGGCTCAAACTGATGAGCATGAATTTCAGGGGAGCATAGCAATGGCATCATCTTCATCAACTTCAGTTGTTTCACCGAACATGTACTGACTTTGATAGATAAAGTTTCAGAGTACATACCGCCGACAAATCGGAAAAAATAAAGTTGAAACCTAACTTATTTCAGAATACTTACCACTGACCACCGCGATCGACCACCGACGATAAATCCATCACCGAAAAATGTCCAGCCACAGAACATATCCAGCCACCACCGCAGAATGTCGGCATCACCGCCGACCAAAAATGTTCAGGCCCCAACCCTAGCGCTACTGCAGATCACCGTCTACGCGACATACCCCCTCCACTGCACGACTTAACCACCATACCGCCACAACCTCATTTTCCAGCCGCAATTTCGATAGTCGCCACTGTGCGCCCAGACACCTTAGGACTGCCATCAACCTCCTCACAGCCTTTGAGTCAATCGACCACAAGTGTTAGCAATTGGTGTCCTTTCCTTTATGATCTCAAACTAGTTTTTGGTTTTGTTATATGGTAGATTTGGGCGGTGAATCGGAGACATGTGGAGGAGATTGAAATCCCTAAGGAGGGAAATCAAGTGCAATAATATTATGGGAGATTAAATGAATAAAAATGGATTATGGAGTAGTGAGAGGGATGGTTTATGAAGATGAAGGTGTAACGGTTTCCATCAAAAGTACGTTGAAAGGAAGAGGAGTGAGTTTTCTTGAACAATAAATTTTGTTCTCCTCTCAAGAAGCCACGTGATGTGATTTTAGAGTAAAAGGATAAAATTAGATTTTTGGGTACATCTGATTTTCTTATATTATAGATTAGTAAATATGATGAACATTGTTATGACAGTTAAGCAAGACCAACTCACATCAGGCATTAAGCCATAAGATGATGGTTAAGATTCCGACTTAAGCGGTGATACTCAATTGGAGAATATTTTAGAGTAATAAATTAGGGTTGAGATGTCACATAATGGATAAGGATGATCAAAATTTACCAATGTCTATAAAAGTTATTATAATACTTCCCAAGGATTGTGTTATCTCTCATATGTGTTTTGTATTATCCTAGTACACATGATAGAAAAAATGGAATATGTTTTATTTTGTTGAGTTTGGGCTTCCTTTTTATGTGGAGAAAGATCCAAATATGAATAGTCCATTTGACTAACTTATTTAAGTGGAGAGGGTCAATTTAGGGTTGAAAGAGATAGAGAGAAAATAAGAACGAAAAAGAGAGAAAAAAGGAGAGAACCCTATTTTTCTCACTAAACCGACGATCCCGAACTCGTTAACCGTCAGATCAAGCTCAAATTTGGAGGGCAGGTTCGTAACACCTGTATCTAACTTTTGACCGTTGAGATTTTCAAAATAAGGTCTGAGCTGAGGGATATCTACTTCGCATTATTTATAAGCGAGTTTGTTTTGTGATTCGTGGGTGTTAGCATTAGTTTGTGAATTACTTTAAGACTCTTTTGTACCCTTATTTGATTATAGTGGGGCTATTTCTTTGGTCTAGATGAATCGTGGTTTTTACTCTCATATTAAGGGGTTTTCCACATTAATATATTGGTATTATTTTGTGTCTTTATTTGTTTGATTTGTTGCCATATATTTGTTGTTGATCCTAATAGGTTCTTACAAGTTTGGGGAATTTTATATCCACTGCGTATTGGTATGTTATTGTCTGTTAATTTCCCATCAGAACCTGGTTAAGGGCTATTTTACTTGTTTGAATAATGGAGTCAAATACAAACATGAAAATGGTATTGTTGAATGATTTTAATTATATTTGTGGAAGGGCAAGATGAAATACTTACTATTTGTGAAGAAATTGCATTTACCAGTATTTATTTCCGCAAAGCCGGATTTATATGTATGATGAAGAATAAGAGTATGAACATCTACAAGTATGTGGTTTTATTCGCCAATATGTACAAGATAATTTATATAATCATATTACTAATGAGACTCGTGCAAAAATTGCGTGGGAGAATGTAGAGTCCTTGTATGCCTCTGAATCAGAGAATAATAATTATTCTTGTTGAATAACTTCATAAGTTTGAAGTACAAGAATGAGACTTCTATTTCATACCACTTGAGTGAATTTCAAGGGCTCTTTTATTAGATGTCAGAAATGGGTATTAAATTTGATGATGAACTTTTAGGATTATTTTTAGTTTTATCTTTACCAAAGTCTTGGGAGACGTTTCGGGTTTTTATCACAAGCTCTGCTCCTAGAGTTCGTGTTTCTTTGAAAATGGCTAAGGGTGGTATTGTTAATAAGGATATGAGAAGGAAGGAACAAAGTTCTTCATCTCAATTTGAGGTACTTGTCACTGAAAATAGGAGAAGAAGTCAGAAAAAGGAACTGAATGATGGTAGAGAGAATAGCAGAAGCAAGTCTAAGCCACGATACAAGAATATTTAGTGTCATTATTGTCACAAAACATGACATATACAAGCCATACTCTTGGGTTGAAATCATTGGATAATCATAAAGCACAATACCCAAGCATGGAGATAACACACAAGCTTAAAAAATGACTATAAAAGGAGTTACATTTGAATGTGAAAATGTGTTTAAAATCTAGAGAGAGAAAGTTAGTAACAAGGAAGGAAGGAAGAACTAGGGTATAATGTGTCTCTTATCTCATCATCTCTAAAGCAATATAATACAATCAGACGTGACGCAAGATGCCTCTTGTTGGCTGAAGGCTGTAAGTAGTTGAAGTGTCAATTTTAGATTTACAATTTTCCTTATTTCTTTTTCAAAAATTTTAAACTTAAGATCTTTTTCTGTTGTATTTAATTTTCTCATAAACTCCTTGTGTTGGTCAATATGAATTTTAATGAGAAAGTAATCTTTTGTGTGATATAAAACATTACAAATGATTTATTTTGTCATATGCATTGTTGATATATATATATATATATATATATATATATATATATATATATATATATATATATATATATATATATATATATATATATATATATATATATATATATATATATATATATATATATATATATATATATATATATATATATATATATATATATATATAGTTATGGACTGGCCAAAGGCCCAAATGTCTAAGGTATACTTTATCTCAAATCCACTTCACTTAATCCAATGTATAAATCCATGTCTCATTGAAAGAATGTACATTCTTTGAGCTCCACTTTTCACTACACTCACTTTGAATCTTGAACTGACTTGGATCAATTATCATAGATCAGCATCATCATTTCAAGAGCATCAATTATCAATTGCATCTAATTATGGTTCCTTAATGGAGCCGTTGCACCGTTTGTGGGAATCAACTTTTGATTTCGTATTTTCCATTATTTTTGTGTTCACTCTTCACTTTTCTAGTTCGTAACCTTTGTGTGTTACCATATCAAGAGATATCATAATTAAATATGGAGTTTCGTCGTATTCAATCCAATGGATCATTGTTCCAACCTAGATTCATCAAATTTTCAGATCCCTAATTCCCGTGTAAACATCGTTAAGTAAGAGGTCGACTGATCCTAGATCTAAATCAGGATGTGCGTAAGAATTAAAAAAAGAGTGTTGGGATTTTCTGTCAATATCATGTTGGAACACCTGATCAACAATACTAATTTTGTGTTATATGAGTTATCTTCCACTAGCATGATACCTACCATGATGGTTATAATGGTACGACAAGTCCATAACTACCATTCGTGCATATCTGTTACAGGAGCACCTCCTAACTCAATGGAGGACCTCCTAATGATTAATGGATATTGAGTCAGGCTAGACTTGATAGGTCATGATGAAACTAGTATCACAACTAAAGCTACTTTATTGCTGCAAGATAAAATAAGCACCTAGTGCAAAGTTATCAGTAGATGAAACAGTGATCATCGTAGATCAAGTTATGCACTGCTATGACGCATGATGTTAAACGTTATAGGGCTACTACACCTTCTCTTCATCTTTATCATAATTTATTTCAACAATAATCTATTAGTATGACTCCTCTTCGACATGATTGTTAGACACAATGTAAAAAAATAAAGATGGTCAGGCACAAGTACATTCATAGACCAAGAGCATTGAGAAAATTGCAGGTATTGGTTGCACATTGACCATAATAGTGAAGGTGTGAAAAAAAACAAGAAAGGGGGGTTTGAATTGGGTTTTAAACTAAAAACTTTTCCTTTTAAAATCCCCTTTAAACTATAACAATTTACTTCACTTAGTGATAATAGTGATAAGATGCAAGAAGGAAAGAACAAGTTATGTTTATACTAGTTCACTTGACAACTATCAAGCTAGTCTAGTCCACCCGCCAAGGTGATTTTACCTCTCTCAAACGAGGTCTTAATCCAATAATCAAAACAAGATTATTACACTTGCACACACCAACTGTATATGACTAACTAGCAATCTCTAAGACACACTAGTCCTAGACTTCTCAAGAATACTGACCTAACTGGTCTCTTTAGGAAATCAAATCTCTAAGACACACTAGTCCTAGACTTCTCTAGAATACTGACCTAATTGGTCTCTTGAGGAAATCAAATAACTGTTTGAATACAAGTTTTGTTTACAAGAATATTACTTCTACACAAGTTGAATATATAAACTATTTTTATGAAAAGTGACTTAAGAAAATAGTAGCTATACATAATAAGCCTTTTTGCATGAATGAATAGTGAATTAGCATGAACTAAATACTTTCTCTCATGGTCTTCAAGCCTTTATATAGCCAATAATTATAACTGTTGAAGGGTATTTCTAGAATTTCCATAAAGTTGGCAGCTTGAGCAATCACATAGGAGACAAGATCATATGCAATTTCTGTCCTTCATGGTAGTGGAATGAAATATTTTGTTTGTGCCATGTACTATTGTACCACGTTAATGTTATCTTCTTTACTTCTGTACTTCAGAGGCTTCTACGAGTATGAGCTTAGAAGAGAGAAGATAACATTAAGGTCATCAGAACTTCAAAGTCTTCAGAGTCTTCAGAACCACGTCTTCAGAGTCTTCAGCACTTGGTCTTGAGAAACTTTACTAAAACATCGGGTCTTCATAACTTCAAGGCTTCAGAGTCTTAAGAACTTCGTCTTCAGAATCTTCAGCACTTGGTCTTTGAGAACCCTTTGTCTTCAGAAACATGAGTCTTCATCATCTGGACTTCAGTAAAAACTTCTATCATCATATCTTCTGACTGGTTTCTTTAGAACATGTTATCTTCATAAACATGAG